ATAAAAGCTTCGAGCATACTTGTACTACATTCTAGACCGCTTTTCAAACTAAGCAGTTATAGTGTCGTATGAGGCAACATCTTCGTGAAGACAATACATCTTATTCGCCAACTTTGGTTGAGAGGCAGACAAACTAACTATTAGGCCACCCTTTAGCATTTATCTTTCTCCTCAATACTTATCTTCATAAATGAAATAATCGATTTTAATTTGGACATTGAATTATAAGTGGCACAGTTAAAAATCATTTTAATATAAGTACATGACATAACACTTGTATTTCTGTATGGCATAATGAACTCTTCTGTCAAGAAAGAAGTGAAAGCAGGGAGAAATGTTTCGTCAATTTCAGATATGCACTGACTGTCTGATTTGTGATAAGTTTAGTTGTTTTCATTTGGCTTTATTCGATGTTAATGATGTTTTACAGAGAAATAGAGGATATTGAATAAGTTTAAGTTCAATACTGAATTTATTGCACGAGTTGAATAAAATTATATTATGCGAGCCTCTGGCGAGCATAATATTATTTATTTCAACGAATGCAATAAATGCAGTTATGAACTTAAACGGATTTAATATTCTATTTATCACATGCCCAAACTTACGACAGTTGAAAGTGAAATAAGAGTAATTTTTCATAGACGCGCCTAAAGTATAACGCTAACATTCAGCGCGTCTTTACACTGTTTGTATAACGCTAATGACGTCACGTCAAAATATATGCACGGCAAAATCGGCACTGGTGTGTGATAAGTTGTAATGTCTATCAATTCATACAATCTGGCAGTTTTTGAACGATTACAAAGTCGGGCTTGTAAGAAGCTTAAATTATTTATGACGCATTTTAGTGAGTTTACAATTTTGATCTCCTAAATCCCTTAATGAAAAACATATTGAAATGTTCTATATTCTTACGAACAAAAACCATTTGTGACAACGTTGCACTTGGAAAGAAAGTCTCAGTCAGCTTTAAGCTCGATCTCGCGGATTATAGTTTAATAGCAAACACTGTAGACCACCCTGAGTCAAACCGATATCAATGTTTTTTTTATTTAAAGATAGTCGGGTACACACGACTGAAATGGTTTTTGAGAAACTGAACATTGGATATCATATCGTAAATAATTGTTTCTTTTCCGTTTCATAAGACTAAGTACAAGAGACCCTCTAACAAAATGTAAATAGACATCCGTGACGGACACTATTTGGTTTGTATAACAAGCCTGCTTAAGTTATCTGAATTTTGTAGTCTGCATTTTAAGAATAACATTTTATTGCTTCCTGATTGTTTTTAAAAATTATTCACTTAAAATATAGTTGTTCAAACAAAACAGTTACTATACTTTCTATTTGCATTGAAATATAATTGTTCATATCATAATAAAGTGTGTTATAATATAATAAATGATAAACACTACTTCGAATTCCCCCAGCGTGTAAGTTCCAACTAGTCAGCCCTTAACATTGAATTGGCGTCAGCTTCCGGTTTCGACCCGCTTAATGGGGTAGAGTAATTGGTTAAAGCTGTCAATGTGGTTATTCTCATCGTTGTTGTGCTGCCCAATACATTGTTTCAATAAATAAATTTGAGATTAGGAACTGTTTATGTGCAATAATACTTATTGATAAATTGTATTTTAAAATCAACGTAAAAAGTTTAACATTAGTAAACTAACAGAGTCGATGTACACAATCATAGTCGTATCACTATAACGTATATAATAGTAACTTTAAGCCAATTTTTAACAAGAAATACATTTCATAGAAAACGTATGTGACATAAGTACAATACATTTAACTATAAGTGAACGATTTGTTTTTGTTCTTTAAACACGATATACATGTACAAGAATATTTCTCTGCATAAAACGTACGATACAATCTAATGTATCTATAAGGCACATTCGTTGCATACATTTTCTGATGTTTCAATAGTCAATTGTGTTAACAGAGAATTTTATCAAACGAATAATTTTGTTACAATGACACTTAATATCAGGAAAATACTTTTATCATATAAATGCAAATTGTAACAACACCTTTTTGACAGACTCGTTATTTTTATTAAATAAATATGTTTCTAAAAGACAGGATGTAAACATATATACATGTATCGTTGAGTCATATGAAGAATAAGAAAATTATAGTAAAACAAGGGAAAAAGGATTCATTCCCCAGTTACTTAACACCGAAAGAAAATACGAATAAGAGGAATTACTTCATAAAAGTTTAACATTCATTCTATACTATACTATAAAGAAACTAAATATTCCATAGTTTTAAAACACAAAATACTCGTTAATCGAGAGAAGAACTCTGTTGTCAAATTAGAATGTTTCTGCTGATATTTGAGAACTAACACGCTCTAGAAAATGACACAACAATAACAATTTAGCTCAGATATAAACGGTTTGCTCACTCAATCCTACGTTTGATTGGTGATGATTACCCTTTCTTTAGAGTATAACATTTTTCCGTAGACAGTTAACATCAATCTTTTTTATATAAAGAAATTGGGACTTTCCAATTCATCAGTATTTTGTTGCAGAAACGACTTAATAAATTGTGTTCTTAAAGATTTCTGTCCCGAATAACGAAGAATGTGATTTTGAGACACAAGATATACTGATAAATGTTGTAAGAAATGTTCTATTTAAACTTCACTTCAGTGTTATTATATCTTTCTGGTCCCTTGGGATCCATGGTTCAAGCACTTTAAAGTGTTGAAAATTGAATACAGCTCAAGCCGCTGCTAGGGTGCGTGAGGAATGTTATAATTTATCATTACCCCTCATGTTCAGACTGAATAAAACCGAGTCTGCAATTTCTTATGTACTATTGTTGTGACTAGAGCTTTCAAAGGTCTTTTCATTTTTTATGTTTAATAATGCTTGACCAGTTTTTTTTTTAAATTTATACATAAACCAAATTTCAACAAAATACTTTGTAGAATTTAATATTGCTAATTCCTTGAATTCCTGTTAACTATGTCATTCAGTGCCACAATTTGCAGAACATAGTGACATCTCATAGAATTATTTAACTCCATGATGATATAAGCAAAACAGCCCTTTAAATTTAGCTTTTCCATCTTAAAGGTCTTTGATGTGATATTTTTATATTGGTTAGACATTAACATATTGGTAGCTTAGGCTAAGATTATATAAGTATCTTGAACAAAATGCTGCATATCACAATGAACTGTTGTGGTAAGGACATATGAGTACAGATAGAATAACATCATAACAGGTATGTACTAGCTGTCACAACTTAAGGTAATCTCCTTTAGATTGCTAGTTTGTAGTGTTAATGGCCTAGAAACATCAACCATATTATCTCTAAGCTTTAATGGCTTTACAATGTTTTTATGCTGGAAAATTAGCAAGATTAAAATATTCGAACGATAATTGATGTTATGATCACAGAAGCATTTTAGAGATTTTTCATTATTGATATATCTGTATCGAGTAATACGTTTAAAAATTATATCTACGCGAAGCCTTTGATGATATGATATTATTAAAATCAATGTCCAAAGGCATTGTATGCCAGTGTATGCAAACATGAGCTTTAAAATGACTAAATAACGGTTTCAAGGCGAGCAAGTTATCTATCTGCTGATCACCTAAAGAAAGAAGTGCTAAATATAAAGTACTTTATAATATAAATAACAAATTGTAAACAAAGTTATATTTTGACTTCCATACAAAATACTATAGTAATCACTATAACTTTACAAATTGATAAATCGCAACAGAAGCAAAGGATGATTCAGGTAACTTGCCAATAACATGTAGTCTGTTTATGGAAACTATAACACTAAAAATAAAAAGACTTTTAGTGAAAAAAAAAACATTTAGTCTTCCAATTTAGGGTAATAACTTTTACTGCTACATTGATGATTACACTGGGAATAGAATTTATCCAACAGTGTGGTAGTCAAAAAGCAAAATTGACATAATGAATAATAACATAAGACTACATTTAGACTTTAGATTTAAAATAATTAATGGAAAATCACCATGTTTATGTTGAACTTATTTATTATCTCTCATTAACAATGTTTGCAATGTTCATGTAATTTTGTTGTGATTAATATTTCCGAGGGGCCACTTTTTCTCCAGATTGAACAGTGTTGGTATAACGGCCAAACACTTAATAACACATGGCATTAATCATTAAAATATGTATAACAGATTAGGACTCCAATGAAATATCTAAGATTATATTTCTAACGTGAAAAAATTATTAAAAAAATTACATTATTAAAACACATTGTCTGATATGTTTAATAAATGATTATATACATAGTAAATGTTCATGTTAATGCGGATCGGTGAAATACGATAGGCGTAGTTTCGGATCCTTCACTACCATGATTATGTCGCCACGTTCAATATGTAGATGTACAGACTTCAAAAATTTGTCAGAATTAGCGGCAATTAGGTAAAGAAAGTGCGACGCCTATTTGAATGACGAATGACGTCGACAAAAACAGAATCCTAAAGAAAGCCTAATACGGCAAATTGAAAACGTCGTAGGCTCGGTTTGAATGAGCCTGTCCGTGTGCAATAATAGTAATTGCAATTTGATCAAGCAAACATTAACATAAATTCTCTTGCACATTTATCTATTTCTTTGTAAAAGGTAGTTCTAAAATCAAGTCAACACATAATTTCATGGAGAAAGTTGCCATCCGGAAAACGTCGGTTGAATGAACTGGCCACTGTAAGCAGTGCAACCTCGACCTGCTACACGTCTTATGAAAACATGATCCCCAGCGTTCACTCTGGCTAGAACAAGACCAGATGAGGGACTAAGCAAAAGTCTTCGATCAGATGCATCCGATACCGTCCATCCTTGAGTCGCACCATTAACTACAATTCCAGTGACAGTATATTCAACATAATCAGCAGCGAATGTCCAAGTAAACACGTATATTCCGGATTCTGGTACAATATATATCCCGTAATGCTCATTATAGCCATTTCCAATATCTAAAACTTCCGTGTCGTATGACCATTGAAACATTTGCTTGAAGAAAGGTAGACATGAAACGCAATCCTTTCTGATTGTAATAGTTCCTCTGAAATGAGACATTTAAATAGATTCATTTACCGGCATTTTATATCTTATTTATTAAGTTAAAGGGATACTAAGACAAATTAATGACAAAAATATTACCTCGAATCACACTGAAATGACATTTTTGAACGAGAGATAAATAAAGAATCCCCAAAGAACGGTCTAAACAACAAAATTGAAAATGGTGCAGGCTCCCCTTTCAAAATTCCATTTTATTTAGTTCCGCCCATTGTTTTCTCGCTTAGGGCACACGCATTATTTTACTTGGGGACCATACGCCGCTTTACTGTGTCACATTGAAGGTTCCATGATAACCGCCGTATGAACACATCTGCGGATGTTTCTAAATTCAAATTTTCACCATTTTCGTGTTAAATGTTGAATTCTGCTTAAGCCGGTGCTAGGGGGCGTGGACGGTAACTTGCACTTTCCAGTACCGTTCAAAACAAGTTCGTTTTGAAGAAATTCATCTCTTAAAGTTTTGTATTTTTCTTTTGACATGATTTGGATATTGTTGTGCGGCAAAAACTTAAATAACTGCTTTTTTCTATAGTGAAGCGAGGTCACACGTGTGCTAATTTATTTTGGTTGGATTCGGTAACGGGTCTTGTTCCTTAAATGTTTTATAAAGTAAGTTCTTGCTCACATCTGATTCTCAAATTTGATGTTTTATCCTTGATCATATGATTATTAAAAGTTTATATCTCGTTTATTGAGATATGATTAATCAATGTTCAAGGCATTATGGAAACCAATTACGAGCAGCATTCTATATAATATATAAATTAGACACATGGTGTCGGATTCCTGACATTACGACATTGACTGAAACAAGTACTACTAGTACGGACGTAATGGAATTTTCGTGTCGTAAAGCTTCCCCTTAAATTTCATCAACTGCGCAGATCTAAACGGACCAGGTAACATTTTATTCGGCTCTTCTAAAGTTATGCAGTGCACAGCTGACCATTCCTTCGCAGCAATTTTACGCGTGTGTAAAACCTCGCTTGTTTTGTTTAAACGCATTTATTAATTTATTTTGTGAAACACGATACACAACTTTCTAGACAGTAAATAAACTATACTCTTCTATCAATTTGCTAAACAATTAAGTCCAATATCGTAATATGCTTTACATTATGTCATTTACAAAAGTTTCATTTTGCTAAATAACTAAACTAATCCGTCGAAAAAACCTCATAGTTCCGGCCAAGAAACTTCATCGCTTTGAGGCGAAAAAGCAATCCGGCCAGCTAATAGGTTCTACACAGTGGCGTATATAATAGGTGCCTATCAAGATATTATCATGTTTCTCATGTAAACGGATGCATGTATTTTAACATTATTATCAATTTACATATGAATGAAACATAACTTACTTTTAAAAAGACTTGCAATGGCTTCCCCATTTTGGTCGTTTTGAAGATTTGGCGTTTTATGTCCATCCGATGTTCCTAATTCGTTGCTTTTATTTAGACTGTCAACTGTTTCATGCATTGCTGTATTAATGCCACTTTCATAGTTAAAGTTGTTATTTATAACAACTTTTTTAAGTCTTGAAACGTCAAGTTCCATTTTTTTCACGCGGCTTTTTAGTTCCATATTGTCATGTTTTAATTCTGTATTGTCATGTTTCAACTGGAGATTTGCCTGTTTCAGTTCTATATTTGCCTGTTTAAATAAATCCATCTCGACCTGTTGTTTATTAACAGTTATTTCAAGAATTTTCAAACGTTCTTCAAAAGAACTGCCATTAGCAAACACTATGCCAGAAATTAATAGAAATAAACGCAGCATAACGACCAATAAGATGGAATAGGTACACTTAGGCGCTAAGTACATCTGAGATATTTTGATAATGTTAAATGTATTTATATACATTTTTGGCAAGGCTTATCTTGAGAACTTTAAAGTGAACTAGTTTATAGCCACCATTGTGTTTAAGTAATGTGTAGCCATGTCAAAAATGCCGAATCTTATCTTTAGTTTAAAGTTAATTTTCATAAGTCGCCAACACAATGTAATACATGTTTACAAATGTGGGAATATCTCATAAAAATGACGTGTTATCTTACACAAGAATTGTGAACGTAGAACTGGAAAACATGGATTTTACCGTACTAATAACATGTTATAAAACACTGTTTCATCAATTTAAAATGTACGTTTATAATAATTTGGCTACTGATAATATGAAAAAATATTATTGAAACACCTTTTTTATAGCAACAATGCCGTTAAATCAAGTCCTTTACTTGACCCTGATTGGAGCATTTGTGTGGACACAATTTGGTAGAATATGTCAGTTTGTTTTGAATCAGTTTATTTAGACAATACTTTCAAAGTTTCAAAGTTTATTTCAGGACTCAATTCATGTGTTACACACCTGACAATATGAGCTATAGCATATAAAGGTACATTACATGAAAGGCATAGCATACACATGAAAGAAACACGCATTTTCAAGGACATGATGAACAAATATGTAGAAATGTTATCTATTCTCAAATCTTGTGATTATTTCCTTAACAAATAAACAAAAATTTCTGTATTCATGTATTCATTACAATGAGTTGTATTCATATTCGTAATAGATTTAAAAGTTTATATATTTGGATATCTTAAACACTTTCGAAATGTGCTGGAAAAAAATGTTAAAGTAATTTTTTTTGATACTGTATATTTCAGCATTATTTTAAATTTGATTATACTTCTGGTCCTCATTCAAATGCTTTAAGTACTGCCTAAAATCAGATGGAAGTTTCTTATTAAACGTTTAAATGTCCATATCTTATGTCAGATTAATCTAGTAAAATGTATATGCTTCGAATGCTGATAAAGGTAACCCTACTTACTATTAGTGATTTGTCATCTATATAGCCAGCCGCAAACATTCATTCTTATGAAAGGTCTTAAAGTAAGCTGTCTCGGAAATAAATTCAAAGCGCCTCCCAGGATTTTTGTTATATTTTAGACATACTCTGAGACTCACTATAAAGATTTTATAAAAAAGAAATATCTTAAAACGACGCCACGAATTATATTGAATAACAGTGTTACATATATACACATTTGAGTGAAAATACCATAGGTTAGATAGAAAAATGATATATTAAAGTGTCTATGTGAAATTCTGTTTATTCTGAACTGTCATTTCATCTGACAATTGCCTTTATCTGCTTTGTGTTAAATCGCCTTGATCTGGTTATATATAGCTTTGAGTGTCAAGGGAAATAATTTTATACAGTTCTCAACAATAAAATGAAATAAAATAAAAGACGGATATCTTGATATGTGACAAAAGAATTAAATAGTTGAGGCCGGATGATTTAAGATAAAAATACTTGTCTTCTTTTATTTTAATAATGTTGAAGTGTCAATTTACATTTTATACAATGTATTTTGTTTTATCTTGCCAGAAGTCGTTTCCCTAGATTTGAACCTTTATTTTCTAGACAAACGTTATCCATTTCCCAATTGAGTTTGTGTTCATGTTTTTACATCTTATGTAATAAATTTTAAATTGTTACATGCTCTCTACTTTGCTTATCATTAAATTTCAAAATATTGTTCAAAAAGATACGAAGTTGTAAGATACAGCATCGACTGCTGTAACCATCTTCCACAGATGGGTGTCGTATGCATTGGGCGTTTCGGTCCCTCCCACAACGCCCTCATATGGTGCGCCGACTAGAGAGATATCAAGCTCTAGCCAGGCGATGTTTCTAAATTCAAAATTTTACTATTTCATGTTTAAATGTTGAATTGTGCTTAAGCTGGTGCTAGGGGGCGTAAACGGTAACTTGCACTTTCCAGTACCGTCCATGAACATGCTCAATCAAACCGAGCCTGCAACATTTTCAATTTTGCCGTGTTGGGCTTTCTTTAGGGATTCTGTATTTATCTATTTTTTGAGCTATCTTTGCTCCATCTGCCTTGAAGCCGGTACTGCCTTACTATTGGTATTTCGACCTGCAATCCATGTCTCTTCTTTCTTGCGCCAGATCCACAATGAGGCTGACAATTAATGACAAATTACCAAATCTCTTCTAAAAGTACGTTAAAAGATTGCACTATAATATGATTTAATCGGTTAACGATTTGTAACGAGTTGTATCTCTTTTGGATGTAGGTAGCTAAAAATGCAAGCATAAAAGCTACGAATGATTATTTATTAAGGATTGATTTACATATTTTTTTAACGAAAATTTTCTAATATTGGCAATGTCAAGCTTCTATAGATATTCAATAGGAGCAATTATTTGAAAACCAGCTCCTCATTTTTCTAAAAGAAGTGTTCATGATCGAACAGACAAAATGAACGAGATGTCCAAATGAAAATTTATACAGTTTCTTACCAATAATGAATTGGAAATCATTTCAGTAGGATGGAAGTACAAATCATTGAAAGTTTTCTTAATTCTAAATAAAAATCCCTTCTAATTTCTAAGCGTTAGTTTTTGAACAGTGATAAAAGTTTCCATACATGTGTAACACATGCAACTCAACTAAATTGTCATATTGACACTCATAACTTCTTTTCGTAATTATTATTGCTTTCTTCACTGCTTTCATCTCGTTCAAACTTTATCATGGTACTATTAACACTTTGATTTCCGCAAAAATCAGCCAATACCGCATACATATAATTTCCAGTCATATTTACACTATAACTTTTTCTTCACTATAACTGCTTATATTCACTGCTTTCATCTTGTTCATCATAACAGATGTAATTGTTGTTCGGCACACTATTATGACCATTATCATTAAAGGATATAAATCTATATCTTATGAAATATTTTTGTAAAATTTATCAACAGTAAAATTATATTGGTTTCTTTATTATGTGGTTGATTCCCGAAAAAGTTGTAACATAGAATGTCTCTGTTATTTAACACTCATGAATAATGTACGTAAACAGAAAAAAATGTTCCGGAACGCAATATTATTTGGCTATTTCAAGTAGGGGTTAATCCGGTTAGCAATTACTGCATGCATGCGCCACACGCTTTAATGCAATTTATTGCCATTTTTATTTCATACAAGCATTTTGGAAGTATTCTGTTTTTTTAATCCAAACAACAAATTTCGCATCAGATAAATAGCTTAATGCACTTTAAATGTTGAGATTAAGATTATTTTCTGTAGAATGGAATTCATTAAATATTATTTATATTTATATATCAGCTACTGAGAGGTAATGTTTAGGAAATAAGAAATGATTATTAATCAAGAAAGATATATAGTTGGTATACATTTTATGTTTTATTTGAAGATAAATGCAATAATTTCTATTTGAAACAATACGTTTAGAAGAACAGCAAGCTATCAGAAACAAAACCTGTAATACTGAAAATATGTCATGGGCATCCCGCCGTAGGCATCAATTGAGAAACGTGTGCCGTTTTTCAGACAATAGCAAAACAATGAAACATTAAAGCTTCAAAGGTTGTTAAAGCAGTCGCATAAATGCTCTACTGTACATTTTTACTTTATTTCATTTGATCTCGCTACCTACAAGAATGCTATAAACTGATTGAATCAACAGAGCGTTTAGCACTTCAAGGTAAGGACAGAAACAGTTATGAATAAACCATTAGGATATGGAATGATTTAAATACTGCAATGATTGACAGCTAATTTTTGCAGGCATCAACTAATAAACTCTCTGGTAAATTTTAATATAACAATGAAAGCTTACGTGACAGGGAAGGAGATATAGTAATATTTCAGCCGATCCTAAACTTAAGTTTTTATGTGGAACGTGTCCTAAAAGGAGAAAATAACATTAAATAACATTACAAACAGTAACAAGACAGATCTGGGCATGCTAAGTCATACGAAAGATATATTATGCGAGGTTCTCTGAAAGCTCAGATTTAATAGTAAACAGACAAACCCTGTTAAGACAATCTGCTCAATAATCTTATATTTGAGAACATTTATGCTATGCAGCAAATATTAACCTTGAGCTGTCCGGTTTCTTGAAGTTTTAGTGAATAAATGGCAAAATGCAGTAGTTCTAGAAATCTGGATAAAATTCGAATTGAGTTCAGTTGTAATTTATTAGTCTTCAATAAAACGTTATGGGTAGAGAAAAATGCGCTTTATCTGATATAAAACTATTCTGTTCTAAACGAAGATAATTAGTTTTAACAATGACGTTCTGTAGTAGGAAAATGGGATATTTGTGCAAGTTAAAATAATATCCCCTTGACAGACTCATTATCTGGTATTTATCTTTGTGAATTAGATATTGGTCTGCTTATTGTATCAAAGTACAACTAGAACACACGATTAGTTCAAAGGAAGAATTATTGACTACCAGGCCGTCCCGTCTGTCATTTTCATATATTTCTATTAGACTTTTTAAAAATATTTCGCAGTGATTATATGAACAGTATAACCAAAGATAATTAAACTATCTAAGATTCTTAATAGTGAATTAAATTATTGCATCAACATAAAATATAATGAATACTAAATATGTTCTGTCACAACGCGTAATAATTTTCTCGCACTTCATTTAGTGTCAGACAATTATATTATCGGAGCTTTACAAATGCAATCTGGTAATAAGCTTTAACGATTATAATTTCCTTTCCGGAATTCAGTGACGCAATGGCCTGATTTATGAAGATTTTTTTTTATAATCCCGGCAATTCTAGAACCTATTACAGTATTTTATCTCTTTTCTAAAAACGTTTACAATTTGTGACAAAATGGTGCTAAAAGTCTGCGGAAAAATCCATTACATAAAAGGTAATGTTATATTGTAATATCAACATTATAAAAGATACATGTCACATGTACATTGATATGTCATTGCATTTATGATTGTACTCAAATATTTATGGGT